ACAGCGTTAATTCCCAGCCAAGTGTCACCAATGGGTGATTTCTTAATTCAAAATATTCATGCTACTATTTTCATATCATATATACTTATTGTACCATATTTTGTACAGATTGTGTATTTCAAATTGTTAAATAAATATATATATATATATATATCCTGAATCCTGAGATTTATTTTATGGGCAGTGAAATAATGTATTAACTACAAATATGAATGTTATAATATTTATTTATTTAAACATGATAGGTATCTGTAATCTGTTTAGCCCATCTCTATTCAGACTACAAACATATCTCATCACCTACAGATTAAGATAAAATAAAATGTAATATTAATTTTTCAAAAAAGATTTCCCACCATAATATTAATTATTATTGGTATCTACATGTGTTTAAAAATTATATTTTATTTATAAGATATTAGGTTTTTATGTAAATAAATAGGTATTATTAAGAGGACGCTACACCAAAAGCGAAACGCATACATCATCACAACGGCCAAGAGAACGCGCTGTTAATTGTTTTCGCGATGCGCAGGCAAGTGACGTTTAAGCCACGCCCACTACTCGTAGTCAGCGGTCGGCCGACTGCCGACAATTGTGCTCACTGCTCATTCTGGAGCGATGTTTATTTTCTCAACCTTCGTCAGTGACGGAACTATTGTAGTAAATATACGGTGCATACAATATGTATAGTATATTACTATATTAGTATATTACGTCGCATTGTCATTGTACCTACGCGGCTTGTATTTATTGCATTATTTTAATACTTACTTCATAAAAGATATATTCAACACCGTAAATAATATCTAATTTATAACTGTAACCTAAACTTATATTACCTAAAATATTAATATTATCTATCCGAGCCTACAGAAATGTGCAAGCAAAGTAGTAGTGCTCTAGTAGTAGAGTTATACCAACGTACCTTTACATGAACGGCTTCCTCTTGATATGGATTTTTGAGATCTGAAATACTAAGAAATTTGAAAACCTAGACTTAAGTGTTAAGTACCTAGCTTAGGACATTGTAAAATATTGAGTTCATTGTATTAAGCATTTTCAACACAAGGAACTATGGAAGTTAGTTATTGTCTGATTGAAAATCGAAAAAGTCTGCCTTTCAAAGTATTAACTTTAACTAGTATTTATCTTTTATCTATATTGCTGCCAAATCTGCAGTTTCATTAGTCAATAAATTTTATACACAAATACATTGATGTGCAACAAAATTTCTTTCAATTTTATTCTTATCACTAAGCCAATTAAAAAAAAAAATAATCAGTGAGTGGTTGAAATTTATTTCAGTTGTTTACAATGCCAAAAATACATAATCAGAAACTAGCCAAGTGAAGACATGAGCAATAAAATTAAAAGAGATTTGTAGATTTGGGGGTTTCGTCAATTGCGCCGCATTTGGGATACTACCTGTATAGTATACATCTATTGCGCCGGTATAAAAAAGGTATACATCTATTGCGCTGGCATAAAAAAGGTATATTAATAAGGAGTACATCTATTGCGCTGGTATTAAAAGAGTTATATATTAAAAAGTAAATTTAAATAAAAATAATTTACATACAATATATATTACATACAAATTTATCTTYCTGATGAAGTGTCTTGAAYCTTARTCTCAATCTAAAAAAATTAAATTAAAATTAGAAAATGTAGATATAAAAATAGATTTATATTTAATTACCTTATAATCATTTTTTGTAGTGGTAGCTTATCCGTTGTACAAATTCAAACATATCTAAATTTCCATTTAAATACTTGGACATATTATCTTCAACTATGGTTTTTTGTTTTTTATTCTTATGATTTTTATTCTTATTTTCTTTCTCGATGCTATTTATTTTTATGTATGATTGAAGTTGAATAATTTTTAAAACTTCATAAAAAATAAAAATGTTTGGATGTGGTGAGTAAAAATATTTACCAAATGCTGAGTGAAACGACTCACAGGCATTTGTCGTTCTTTCGCCTGATATGTTACACGATGCCCAAAGATACGGTGGGAAAGTTGCATCTTCACTAATATATGTATCAACAAGGTAATCACAGAACGTATCAATTCGTTTGTCCATTGGTTTAACGCTCAGTTTAGAATTGCAACTTTTGTGTGCGCACCGCCATTTATGCCCTTTTTTTGTAAGTTCCTTAWAAGAAAATTTATAATTTTGGTAAATAATTAGTTCATTACCACGTTCACTTAATACTATTTCCATTATAAATTTAAGCACGAGTCACGACAACTATACGAACAACGCGTGGAATTGTACTGCACAATACTATGGATTTACCTATAACCTATAACACGGTATTTGTCCACATTTTGTAATTTGTTTTATCTTCAAGTAATRAAATAATATAATTCAAACTTACCTATGATACCTATAGATAATAGATATACGATAAAGATATATTAGATTAAAACACGTAAAAACCGATTTTTAGTTGTAATAGAAATAATATTATAGACGTTTATATATATATTTAAGAATCGATCAGCGTACACCATTTATTACATTCAAATATCGATCGGCGCAATTGACGTACACAATTTATAACATTGGAATATCGATCGGCGCAGTTGATGTATACCTTTTTCCTATCCCATRATTTTTCTTTTTTTACCTGCGATTTTCGGCGCAATTGATATATGCCCGTAGATTTGTTGGTTTGTTGCACATAAGTGTATTTATTTATAAAATTATGGACTAAAAAAGAGGAGGATTGTGACCCCAGTTTAGATATTATCTACTTCCATAGGTAAACTTTTTTAAGTCTGGCACTTGGTCGGTTAGGTTTTTCTTGGATTCATAATTTACACATTACACACCTCATAATACATATTTTACCATAACTATACAGTCTGTATAAAACAGAGTGTCCCGCGAGGATTTACCCATTGTTATATCTCCCGAAATAATGGAGATATCGAAATTATGGTTTTGTAATGAGACTCACAGGGACAAGAACAACAATTATTTCATGGTTTAATGTTTGGTAAAAAAGTTAAGTAATATATTTTTTATTTAATTATTTCCAAAAAATCAACTATAGCCATTTTGTAGAGTTTATTTTTCTGAAAATATTGACATTTCAAAATTTTATTTTCATTAATTTCTTTATTTTTAATTTTTCTTTTAGTTTTGAAGAAAATTGCGAATTATTTAACACCGTAGTGTTATCAAACATATCACACACCGCGCCGCGCGCATTTTCGTACAGCCGGCCTAACACTTCCAGTGTGCGTATGTCTAGTTATAATCATATTTTATTTCTTCAAAACTAGAAAAAATATTAAAATTAATGAAAATGAAGTTTTTAAACGTTAATATTTTCAGAAAAATAAACACTACAAAATGGCTATAGCCATTTTTTTTGGAAATAATTAAATAAAGAAATACATTTTTTAATTTTTTACCAAAACATTTAAATTAAATTTAAAAATGAATAATTGTTGTCCTTATCCCCGTAAGTCTTATAACAAAACCAGAATTTTTATATCTCCATTATTTCGTGAGATATCACAATGGGTAAATCCTCGCGGGACACCCTATGGGTAAATAATTTGTAATATATTCAATTGTAAATTAAACGATCCAAAATTCAAAGAAGAAGTTCGTAAAAATAGCTGTTAAGTTATCACTGAGTGTACCATAAAAAGTACATGAACATCCAACTATTCCAATTTCCAATAAATAAAAACAATTTTAAAGCTTTTCTGTTTTAGGTACTTATAATAAAAAATTAAATTATTATATATTTTTAATTTTACAAGATTAAGACTTTAGATAAAATATTTGAAAATTGGTTGTAGATATTTATAAAATTATAACAATATATAATATATATAATATTATATAGTTTATTGCACATAAAAAAACATTTGTTCATACTGTTAAAGTCTTATTCTGTTATCTATATTAATAAAATATACATATAATAATATGATAACTAATGTAGTAATGTCTAATAATATTATATACAATAGCTTTAAAATGTTTTCAGCAAAAATGCTATACATATTTCGTTRAGTTGTTTCGTAATAACTAATAATTTTTTTACACACTCACATAAAATATGAAATACTGCAGTCTACTTTAAATATTTTATAGTAACTTGTATGCTCTATACATCGATTCATAGACACGCCGATATATCGATATTTCTATTATTATGAAATAATAATAATAAATTTATTATTTGAATCAGATATATATATTATATATAATTATTAATTATATAATATTAGAAAAGTGTGGTTTAGAGTTAAGATAAAGTACCTATCTGTATGTAGACTATTAAGTATTAGAATACTTATAGACTTATGAGTTTTAGTTGGTAGATAGAAATTTACATACAGACTTACAGCACTAGGTCACGAGGTGTATCCGATTAAAATGTTAATAACTTATTCGTTTGGTTATAAGTGATAAGTTATAATACACAGATGATTTGCAAATTGRAGATCAAACGAAAATCATAATAAAGTACAATAATAATTAATAATATAGTCATTAAWGTTACCAATGTTTAATTATTTATTATTTATTAARCTATTATATACCTACTGACATCTAACATCACTGCCAGTATATAGGTATACAATATATAATATGTATCTCTACGTTATAGTGTAGTGTAGATTTAATCTTTAATCTAAACATTTTTATAATAATTATTGTTAATATGACTAGACGTGAGTTGAAAACTTACTGTAATTTACATTTCGTTACAGTACGAAATGTTGAGATTTTCAGTCAATGATTTATTAAGTTTTTAGTTATATAAGATATAAACTACTAACGGTTAATTGTTTACACATATTAAATGCACCTAATAGTTGATAAATAATATTACTCTTTGATCTTAATAGAAAATTACAAATTCAAATATTTTACTAGATRTAGAAATATAGGAATGTTTATAAAGATAAAAACAAAACTTAATATTTAAATAATTTCTACTTTAAGGTCTTTAGGTTTAAGTCTATTTGTTGAAAAACATGAAGTTGAAATATATAGTATGGATAATAGATTTTATCCTTTCTTGATTAGAATATTTCTTGATTCAAGCAAATTATTATACTTGAGGCTCCTATTATAAAATTAAAATAGAAACTTTATTTTGTCCATCTAGAGAACACGCGCCTCGGCCCGACGAAAATCAGGTTTTGCGCATCCACGCGACCACGCCCGACATAGTGGATGCGGTTTCGACGGTATAGGGTGTTACGTAGGGATGCGCAGAATCRGCGTTTTCTCTCGTAGGACGGTATATATTGTATATAATATAAATATTTATTTATTAATACATAGTTTAATTAAGTACGAAAAGTCGAGAAATGGGGATTCGGAAAATATGTCACTTGGAATGATCGATATACTTTCACAAAACACGCCAATTGTTACCAATTCAAAAACTTTATCTAATTGTCATCAAATATCTGTTTGTAATAACGATCTAATCGTTTAGTTATATTATGTGATAAATCCATTTTTAAAATTTAGACAATTAGGGYCCCTCGGGGCCTTGCAATCCTTGCATYTATAATAATCCGAGGTTTCTCCCCAAAATGATTAGAAATCGTATTAGTCATTATACATACTTATATTATATTAATTGGTCGTTTTTAGATGTACAACATCAAACTATTGAAGTACTCAAAATAAGTCGTGAGACATCGGACGAGGTACAATCTATAACAATATTAAAACAGTCAACATACGTATCGATGTATACTTACTAAACAACTAAACTTACGGCCCCACTATAAAATAAATATTATGTAAGTATATTATCGGACGAAAACGCCAGCTGACCAATAACCAGGTTCATCACCGACCGTTGTGGTGGTGGCTGTGTCGATCACCATTGCGGGATGATTATGTTGGTGATGGCGATGATCGATGGTCATTTCTTCTTCGTGACGTTGATGCTGTAATTGTTGTTGTTGTTGTTGTTGTTGTTGTTGCTGCTGCTGCTGCTGTTGTAGTTGATGGTGGTGGTGCTGTTGATGGTGTTGAAGATGGTGTTGGTGTAGGTGTCGGTCGACCGCCATTTCTGGTCTTTGGAGTTGGTGATGGTGATGACGTCTACTGGCCACCGCCACCGTTGACTTACAGTCCCTGCCGGCTTCGGTCTTGACGGCACCGCCGTCGGCCATTGATGACGTGGACGACGAAGACGACGTGGACGACGACAGTGACGGTGATGACGTGGGGGGAGTAGCTGTCGCGTTCGTCGACGCTGCAGTCGTGRTGGTAACGACCGTGACGGACTTATCTCCCCCGTCACCGCCATCACCGTAAGTGCAAGCGTAAGAGCCACCACCGTTGACGTCAGATCCAACCGTTGGAGGCGGACCACCACCGTACACCAGCGGAGCTGCACCGCCTGCAGTGTGCATGTTTGCCGCGGCGGTAGCGGCGGCCGCAGCAGCAGCGGCGGCTGCGGCAGCGGCAGCGGCGTACCTGGAGGCCAGCTGCTGGTGATGATGGTGGTGATGGCGATGGTGCAGATGATGGTGATGGCCCGCGGTCGAGGTAGTGACGCCACCGTGCCCACCGGACGTATCGGATACTGCAGCGTAATCGTACGTGGCCGCCATGTTGAAGAGCGCCTCGGGGTCGCAAACAAATTTGTAAACGTACCGTTCTCCTGGCAAACAATTAAAGAGAGGCAACCGTCACTACGCAAGTAAACACAAACACCGTGCGCRCGGGAGTGTGCACAAACGCTGGAGCGTATACATACATACATAATATTACATAATGCGTGAGCAATGCCTTTTTGCCGCCTCTCTCTGCTCATATATTATATATATAAATATATACGTTGAGTTATACGTACCCTCCCCTGGCCACCCCGTGCAAAACATAATATATAGGTAACACAATATTATACACATATATATATAATTATTAGGTATGTWATATTATTGTGTTTGTCCAAACGAACAAACACACACGCCGTGGGCGACCGACGTTTGCGCGCTTACATATTGCAGTATAGAAATATTATTTTTATTATTATTATTATTATTATTATCGCGTAAGTGTGTACGGTGTAACTCGCTATACATCGCTTGTTATATTTATTGGAAAACGGTTTGTTTTCTGTATCGAAAACAAAACGATGAGATCGTAAAATAATGTATATATATTATATATAAATAAAACACAGACGTCCGACATATTTTGTGATTGAGGGCCGAATACATATTTTTACACACAATGCACATGTTTAGGTACCTGCTATAACTATTGCATTTTATATTATACAATATATATATGTATACTCAATGCTATTATTTACCCGTCCATGCAGGTTGAAGAAATACACATCCTTTCTAATATTCTATAACAAAACATTTTCAACAGAAATTACATTTTTACAACGGTTGTTATGACGATTACGTCATATAATCAATTTATTATGCTCATGATTCATTAAGAGGACGTTTCACCGGCATGAAGTGTGTATGTTGTCTCGGTCTTATAAAATATGTAGAATGTAGCAAATACTGTTTTGCGTGGGAAACAACCACTCGGGGATGATCATAGTCTGAACTAGCTAAGCAACCAAATGTTTAAGCTATAAAGAGAAGAACATTTACTGTGCAACGTTGTTTTTATAATTAAAAATATATATATAACAAAACTTGAAAAAAAAAGTTATCGATTGAATAATGAATTTTCAAACATTAAGGACTTGTTTTTTATTTGCGATATCGGAAAAAATAAAAACAACGTTGAATATTAAACATTCTCCTTTTTATCGTGTTGACATTTGATCATTTAACTTGTGGTATACAGCCCGAATGGTTCGTTCCCGCAAAAATCGGTTTTTGCTATATGTTTTATATTTGTAAGACGGTCGACGGAGACAACACACGCTGGTGTAACGTCTTCTACATAAGAAAAATAACTGATTAATGGAGGTTTTCAGTGTACGTAGGCTGTCGTTAAAAAATCGTAACTGTCTACTGCCCGCAATGTGAGATTATCATAAAGTTGGTGGTTTAGGATAAAATAATTATACATCATAATTCATATAATTGTAGCAAATGTTTTATACCAATATTAATTAGTTACCAGCAAGATAATGGTACTATACCTATATGGCTATATACCAAGATAATAGCCGGATTTTTAAAATTTTTCTTTTTATCTACTAAATTATCATTAACCGACACCGCGGGCGACACAATAACGGGAGGATTTTATTTTCATCATGTAATTTTCCTGTGACAGAATCACAGAGAACACTAAATTGAAACTAACCTGCCCGGTGTGCTGTATATGTTTTATAAAAACCACTCAACGATTGGATAAGTTCCAACTAAAATTGTTTTCGTTACACCTAGTTATAATATACCTAATATATATAAGTTTGTATCATTAAGATAGTGTCTACAAATACTCGGGCTGGTATAGTAGTTATTACATGATATATTTTTTTTACAAAAACCTAATTGGAATAAAAAGTAATAAAAACACTGGTTTAATCAGGTCTACGCAAAACACAATTATTTTTATTAAATTGATTTGTTATTTTAATTTCCGACAGTGATTTTTTTTCAAAACCAAACTCCTCGGGTATAAACCACAAATATACAAATATATATAAATCTCAGTACTTGTTAAGTATTTGTTGCTAAATGAATATCCATATAGATGATATTACCTAATACCTATATATACTTATATCACCGACTGTCTGGTGATTGAGGAAGTCTGAAGATGGCAGTTATCGGGTGGTTATATAATATTATTTATGATATATCCGATATAGGTTGTAAGAACCCCGAGTTCACGGTGCAGAAATCACAGTCAACGACGTCAGACTACGCACGAGGAAATTAAAGAAATTTCAAAGTGACAAATTAATAGGTTTATAACATATATACATCACGCCCGCGTATTTTAAAGTTAAGTTGGCTAATATTTATTATGTTCAATATACACACACGAAATAATCATAGATTTKTTTTCAAACTGTAAAATTTTAACTTTTATTGAGAGGTGGTGGAGAGCTGAATGCAATGCAATATTGCTGCCGTTGCAGGTTTTCATCGGATATTAAATAGACAAGTCGTTTAGATTGGCTCCAYGATGCCTCCATTGTACGCACTATATTGTACTCTACATATTATGATATAAGTGTGTACATTGTTATATCTATATATACTGTGATTTGTCCGAGTCCATCGCAGCTCACTCTCTGCAAACGCTCTCCACCGTCGTTATTGTCTTTTCATTATACCTATCCGCAGTAGTATATAATATATACAATAAATATATTAATTTCTCTCTGTTTCTCTCAGTCTCGATTATGATTGATACTGATCATCTCGAGAAAAGCTCTCAGTGGCTTGGATATATGTACGTATTTCGAAAACAATATATTATATAGYATTGTAGTGCCTCGTTAATCCGTCAGAACTGAATTTGACACCACTGGTGCAACAGTATAGTCAATAAGGGGATCAAAAATAGTTGCAGTTCATACGCGGATATGCGTRTAGCCGCGTAGGCGTATAGCTAGACAATTATTCTTTTGGGAAGCTGTCTATTGTCTGTAAACGTTTTTGTGACTCAGCTAATTTTGCAATGGTTTTAGGGGCTGATCTCCAGTTATCACCTCCTGTAAGTTGTGACATAGAGCAGTAATGATGCAGTGAATTCTCGAGTGTTGTCTTCAATTTTTCTACTAATAGCTGGATATATATCTGTTTATTTTACGGCAAGTACTACGGTATCCATTTTTATAAAATTTATATAATTATAATTGCAACTGTATACCGCATCGCATGATAATATAATATKTGTATATTGTTGAATAGATAACCCTATAAGGATAATCTGTTAGGTTTTGRCAGACTAAGTTTTGGAAATGTTAAAGTGTCAAAATCATATAAAACTGAGAATAGAGTTATATGATAGTTGTTATAAGGTTGCTATATCTTCATATAYCTAGATAAATGATAGTGATTCAAACACAAGTTACTACAACCCTTTATCGCTTTGAATTACCTATAATCTATATATATACTAATAATTAATAACTAATAAACTAAAATATAGCAACCAAACACGAATAAAACTACTAGTTTTTAGAATTGTGCACAACTTAACAAATTTATTTGTAAACATACCAATAATGTACACTAACTATATATATATATATATATATATATATGAATACATATATTTTAAATTTGTTCACATTGCCCGGGATAAACCGCCGGTTCATTACGAATTGCATTGATATTTTTTCAAAATAACAGTCAGTATATATTAGGAAATGTTTAAATAATTATTCATATAGRTACTCCCTAAGAAATTCTGCAGGCATTCTACATRATGACTGGACACTTTATAGAATAACTACCCTGAATCTCAATATTCCCCGCAACAGATAAAATGTTATAAAAAACAATAATAGGGAGAAGCTGTTTACCGCAATCATTATCTCTCGTAAATATATACATACGATCTAATTATAATTTTTCTTTTTTATTATGAGATACTTCTCTGCTAGTATAACTAATAATTAACTATGACAATTTGACATTTAAAAATATCTTATTATACTATTATAAAATATACAATCTCTGAATCTCATCGTTTTATTTTCCAAATTTGTGAAAAATCACAAATCAACATGTTAAACAGCTACTTACCAGCCACTTTTTGCATGATCCCTTTTTCGTAATAATACCTGAGCGACCTGCTCAATTTGTCATAGTTCATTGCCGGCCTGTTCTTCTGTAATCCCCATCGTCTAGCYACCTGCGATTGTGCATAAATCAGTAAATCGTGTAAACAAATAATATGAATAAAGTAAATAAATAATTTATTTTTACTCGTAGTATAAATTATCCAAATTGTTAAAACGAACAATTTTTATAAAATTACGATGTGTTCATATTTAAATTCTGTATATGGTTTAGRTAAATCGTATAATAAAAATAATGTGTATTTTAATAGAATGCAACTGTCATAATATTATTTTTTTATTAGGTACCTCTTCCGGTTCGACCAGCTTAAATTCCATGCCCCTTCCGGTCCAAACGATACATGACGCGTTGTTTGGGTCGTCCAGCAACGTGACCAGAAACTGCCACAACTGCAACGCACCCCTGCGCTGGGGTTGCGGTGGCGCAGCGACTCCGGCGTACCCTCCTCCACTACCGTCGTGGCCTAAAGATGTGACCGTCTTTAAATCTGAGACATCTCCTGTACACACGATCGAAACAACAATATAAATAATAATAATATTAAATTTTCCCGCCCTAAAATATGTCATATATTATATTCTATATAGTTACGTATATTTTATGGATCACAGAAAATTTGACTAGAAATATGTAAAGTATGGTCAATCATAAATAATTTCAAAATTAATTTTTTGATTTAAAAAATATTAAAATAAAGTTTATAATAAAAAATTGTTAAAAAAATATTTTAGGATTATCAATATTTTAAAATTATTTATACATCCACATTCAATTCCCTAATAAATTAATTATTTTCTACCAACCAACTTATTTGTATCTGATATCAATAATCAATGATGTATTTATACTTTATAGTGTATACTTTTACAGTGTCATTTAAATTATCAATGAAATAGAAACAAAATATTGATRGAAATTTAATACGAACGATTTATGAGCCTTACCGATTTCGTCTCACAAGATAATTTGAAAGAACGTATTGAGAGAGGCTAATATTAATTAATATTAGTTATATCATCATAAAAGCATTCCTGACAAATATTATCCTGAATTTAATTGCTTCTGGCAAAAATTCTTCYAAAAATTACTCACCACTTGTGTTATCGTGTAGATATTATGTTAAATAATTTATTACACTTTTATATTTTGTCTATTATAGCAACAGTGTACACAACATTTTGATATAAATTTTAAATTTTAAATCTTCTARTAACACGACTGTAATCTCGATTTTAATGAACGACGAAACTTGATTCAAGATTCCTTCAGYTTACGATTCCAACATACTTAATAGTATATGTTATACAATTTATACTATTATAGTAATAAATCAAACCATAATATTATTCAGTACCTATACTAAATAATTTTAAAYTATACAAGAGATCTCTCAACATTTTTTTAGTAAACAATCATCAGACATGATTCGTAAACAAAGACGTATAGAGTCTATGGGGTTCAAACTACTTCCCCGAAATAAAATCCTGGTTATGTMCCTGCATGCTTGTAGAAAATTTGGTACTGCATTGATTATATATACATTATTTTATTGGTATTATATATCAAGTATACGAAGCGCGCACAAAGAGTTGAGTGGTTCTATCGATTATATTAATTTTCTAGTTTTAATCCCAAACAATATTACTTGATATTTAATTGATCAAAGGACATTGTTATAGTTCTTACCATCCTGATGATCCTTGCTAATGGTTATCGTCGATGGCGGTGGTGGAGGCGGCGGCGAGTGTGGGGGTGGATGAGGAGGTGGTTGTATGTGCATGTGCGTCGAGTGATGGTAGTTGAACACGTCGGACGTGCTCAAAAATAGCGGTGAACCACCTGCTGATCATCAGATGGTTAGGATTATTATCGATTTCTCGATTTCATGACATCATCATCATTATTAATATAGGAATGCAAATAATTTTTATAACACTAAAATATAATAATTATTAGTGTTGCTGTGAGGGGTGTATTATATTGCACGTGTTTATTTTATTATTATTTTTCCGCACCATCGGATTTTCGTCGATTAATTAATATTAACGAGCTCGACGATTGTTGTTTTTCGTATAATTATATTCACTAAAACACGATTAATCTTAATGTTTCGTGAGTTTTCTATGCACACATATACTTATACATCGTTACATTCATTTATCAGCAGGTAGCAGCAGATCACGATATAGCAAAGATTTAACATTTTTATGAGCAAAATTCGTAAAAAAAAATGTTAATATTAAGTAATTCATTAAACTACTCATTTATTATTCTAACGATGACGCRCCGTGATTAATACCTATATAGATATTTTATATGTTAAATTTGATATATTATGATGGTAAAAACTATAAGTTGGAATATCGGTGAGCCGCGAGCTGGTTTTATAAATCAGTCATGCTCAACATTGATATAGTGCAGAAAAACTATAGTTTTCTAGCAGCATTTAAATGGATATAAGTGACCTTGATTTTAATAATCACTCTTGTCTTTAGCAAGCTCTGGTTTTAGATTTCAAATAGATRGCAAGTGAATAAAGGACTCCTACAGACGGTATAAAATCGGTAAAAATATAATATACACTAGCCGACTATTATAGCTATGTTTCATTGTTTACAATACAAAAGGGTATTGAGGATCTTTCATAATATTATATTTTACTATATAAAAAACATTTAAGCGGACAAACAAGATAAAGTGAATAACTTTAAAATTCAATTATTTTATTCAGTAAATTTGCAGGAGTTTTACCGGGAATTATAGTAGGTATATCTGCAGATGTGTATTAATATATGCGCTGGGTAAAGTCCGAAATCAAAAAAGCGAGAAGTTGAATTATAAATTTTAATTTAACTTTTCATGGATTTTTCGATGATATTCGTATAGTTTAAAACTTTKAACGTAACTATAATTATGTTCTAATGTTTCATATAATATCATAATATGACATTATATTTTAAGTGGTATGACATATATTATAACTACTCAAAGGACACGCGTTTAAAATCAACCTATCGGAAAACTGAGTGAAAATTGATAGGTATCGTTTAGTCTTTTTCTGACGCCATATGATGCTAAAATAATAATGTAATATAATATGATATACATATACCTACTAATATTATTAATCAGTCGATCGAAATGTTTGATCCGTTTCATTTATGCGTACAACCTCCAAAAAAAATCATGGCCATTTGTATATTAATTAGGTATATACACATACATAACAGTTATTGGTATACATATGAGAAATAAACTCCACTCAAAGCGGTTAAGTTTTTTTTACTTTTGTGCATTGTAATATTGTATATCGAATTTGTATCATAGACCATTGTCGGGTTTGGCGAAGCTTTGCCTATATAATCATTTTTTATACATTAATTGAACTTTATACATATAAATTATAATGTATTATTATCAATTATTATACTTATAAAGGTCAAATATTACAATTTACAATGTACAATGTTCGTACAWTGATTTTTAGTGAACAATTCAAATGCACTTCAGCTTTTCAAACACAGACYGATTTAGTATTTATTAATATTTATATAAATATTTTTTCTTGATTTCGATATTAACTTTGTAGGAATCAGTGTAGCAATTTGTTATTAAAACTTGTACTTACGATTTATAATTGAAACATACGTGTTTTATGAACGTTTCCATAATTCCCATCAAGTGTTAATATAATACTACACTTATCTTCCAAGAATTTCAAAAGGTATAAAAAAATATGTTTATTTACTGTTCAGGTATAATTATGGTATCTACATATGTGAATATATTTATATTTTTTGTATAAAATAAATTAAAACATACCTACCTAAACAACACACGTAGGCTCCCGAAACATTTTTAAATCGAGATAAAAATGTAATATTATAAACTGACCATTATTACCTGGTTGATGTTTAATGGTTATACTATTTACTATCATATTTAATGGGTTCTAAGTGATTGAAAATATTAATATTACTATGAGATTTATAATATGTGAAATGTGMCACAAAAAAACTAGATAAMAATAGCTAACTTTAAATTGGTCATTGGTGATAATAGAAACATAACTTGATAACTGACAAGTTATACCTTTATACTAAGTAGCAACTATTAGATAGATCATGCAATTTTAAAATATCAATAATTAAATCACTGACGAATTATATTATATTTTATTYGCGAGTTAGRTACGTTTAAATTAGTAGTATACCTAGTAACACATATAAGAAATATATTTAATTTGGTACTTAAATACCACCTGCTTAGCTGTATGTCAACATCAAATATTAATAAAACCATTTTTTAATCTTTATATAAATTATACATTTTAAGTTTAGAAGTTAATTTTCTGAAGAGTTTATAACAATAATTTAATCAAGTATGGGTGGTAGAATATTTATTGTATCCTAATCCTATCACTATTTTAAGAACTTTCTATGCAAAATAAACGGTTTGACAACAAAGACATACAAATGGTGAACAAGGTCGGTATCATTTGTACAACAAGTGTACAACGGTTGACAGAAATCCGTTTTTTAAAGAATATGTATACGTGAAAGACGTTTTTATAGGTAAGCAATAGTCGATAGTTAATAAAGACAATTAGACAAAAAATCATAATCAATTAAATAAATTACGAAAATGGTACTGCATGTTTGTACTTATTTGTAATGCTAAACCGTCCTTCAAAGTTAAAACTCTTTAACTTCAACAGCAACAATCGCGATGGACGATGGTAAACATGCCAAACATGGCCCGTTCCTCCGTGGCTATTATAATAATATTATGTCATATTGTCACGTCTTAATTATAATATTTTATAGTATAAACGTTTATCCGTTTTTATTTAGGAAGCGACAGGTTAAAAAAAAAACAAATTGGTAAACACAAAAAAAAAGTATATCCTCTAAATATTTTACGTGGTGCACATATTAAAATATAATAAATTATAAATGCATCCATTTATTTTAATTATTCAATGAATATTAAATTTAAACTTTCATTAATCTCATTTTTGTGTAAGCGCGCATATACCGTCTTTTATATTGTTCTTCCATTAATTAAAAATGTATTGTTTTACATGGACCGTAATATTAGATTTAAAATTGTAAATCTGTTGTAGGTATTTATATATAAACATTTATGTGTTTCGCAAGATCGTAAATAGTTTTTAATTTTCCCGAGTTATTTTTACCTTAGTTTATCATTTTACAAGTGCCCCACTTGCCCCAGTACCTATAATATTTGAGAATTCCATGTATAGTGTATATAATATTTATATCAATAATTTATACATAGTTATTACTCTTATTATATAGCTTATTATCCATAATAATATCTAAATGTTAAAGATGTCATTCAGCCATTATACGATATTATTACGATATGGTAGCGAATTGCAAATAAGAAATATGAATAGATATAATTGTTTTGCGTTTAATTAGTATAATTATAAGTCTGTATGAAGTTTACCTCATAAGTTACGAATCACTTATACTGTTATTAACACAGTTTAAAAATATCATTGACTTTAACTTCCATCACGCGAAATATTAACACGCCTCTGCCCTTACGCTCGTATATAGCCATTGCTCATTAGTCGTATAGGTAATAATCTATTGATGCTTATTATCATTATTAAAAATATGTCTGTCAATATTTAATATATTTTATTATAATATTTCTGTATGCTACGGATCTTAACGTTTTCCAAATAAAGCAATGCAATCGCATTAATAAGTGCAGTTTCAGTGGCGCAACTTGATAATAAGGGACTCATGTAAAAATTTCCAGACTGGGGCTCTTGCACCTACTAATAAAAATGAAAAACGGTGGATATACCTTTTTAAAATTAAAAATATTGTTTTCTCACGTGTCATAGTTATATAATAATGATTGGTTATATTTATTTTTTTATAAAATCTAACACAAATCAACTCTTCTTGTTCTTACAGTTGCTAAGTCATTTATTATTTTGTTTGTATCCAATTCAGCTGTAACTGAAGATTATTTAAGAAATATCGTGATCCCCCCCCCAAAAAAAAAAAACCTGGGGCTCCAGTGAATTGCATACTACCGATAATTGTGCCACTGTGCAGTTTGCTGTTAAAAGAATCGACTTGTATAAAACATATTATACACTGCCGTCTCTTCGCGGAAACGGTACATTTTAATATAATATGTATATACCTATCTATATAATATGTTCCTACTCCGTCTAAGCACCGCGATGGCTAAACGCGGATTTCGTTTGCCAGCTATTAGCAACAATACGAGTAACAATGGGATTTGTAATATTTTTTACAACTCCCGACGGGCATCGTCACTGGCTTTTTTCTCTCCCCATCACGGTCGGTGTATTCAAAAGGCGGCGGTCCGCTAAAAGGTTGCCGTTACATTATTTAAAACCCGAACGTTAATCCCGAATGGGAGTGCAGAGGCGTACACGTTACACATACGCGCATTGCATTTATAGGTACCCATACCAATAGATGCTGTATAATATAATATAATACTTGCCAATTTCGTATGTTCGAAAACTATATATATACAACGGAAGATGAAACGATGAAAAACCTATAGATCGCGATACTATATATAGCCATCATATCCACGTGAACCTTTGCATGTGTCGTCGGCAGACGAAAAAAGGACTGTAATATTGTATTATTGTTACGATGTTATCGAGGTATTTTGTAGTTTACCGTTTAGCAGTTGTAAATATATAAGACGTACACACGTAAGAGCAGTTTTAGAGTTATTTAACTTTGTTTTTTTAGGGATAAAACGTCTCTGATAATATATAGGATCATCTATATATGGACTATCATAATATA